ACTTTCTTTTATATACGAGTATATAGATTTCGTTATAAATGTTTAATGCCTACCCTACCTATCGATTTAGATTCTTATTTGGGTTTATAAATGTTTGTAGGTAACTTTAAAAAACGTTTTAAAAAATCAATAACAAATTACTATATTATTTTACTTACGGAAATCCATTTCAAAATGTTTATATTCATTGAATCTTCTCTTACTCGGATATTTCATTTTAAATTAAAATTAATTAATTATTAATTTTAATTTAAACATCACCTAAACACTTTATACGCGCAATTTACGTAAGAAAAAATTACCAAGTTGCGTACACCTTACACTAACAGGTTCAAATTGTTACTGGCTTAAATCACCTTCGTTTCCTGATGTCCGTTTCCGAAAAAAAAAAAACAACAAGTGACAGGTACATAACAATAGAGTTCTTGGGCGAGGGATGTACGATTCAAGTATCGATAAAATATAAAAAAAATATTGCACAATGTCGAAAGTAATATAACAAATATCTTATATATAAAATTCTCGTGTTACAATTTTCGTTCCCATACATTTTGTATGGGCTTATGGGTAATATTGAGTAGGTCTGAGAATCGGGCAACTTCTATTTTTAATCCCGTGCAGACGGAGTCGCGGGCGACAGCTAGTATTAGATAAATTTATTTGAATTGAAATATTGTTTGAATAAACTAAAATAAAAAGCGTCAATACGTAGGTACGGATTTCCGATTACGAGTTCGGGGGTTCGATTCCTGCCATTCGACTATTGTAAACCATCCTATCACAAGTATTGAGCTTAGTTGTAATGGTAAAAAGAAATACAATACAATATTTATTGGTAATATTTAAATTATAAGTGAAAGAGCGATTTACAAAAAAAAATCATTGAAAAAATTCTTCGTATGTATACAGATCCATTTCGACAAGCACTGATTTCAATATATGATGTGAGGCTGGGTGCCGCTGTGTGGAAATATTATTACATTTATATAAAATATCTGCTGATATTTTTGACTAAAAAAAACTTATAATTTACGTAGTTACTACAAATAACAGACAGAAACTTATTCTACGTATAATATCGATATGTCCTTCTCTTGAATTTCATATGAGATAAGATACGCGGTTAATATAAAAGTTTATAAAGGATATACCAAATGTTAAATATGCATCACAATTAACGTAAGACTGTGAAAATCTCGTCTACATCTTTCTAATCTTACTAATATTAATGCGAATGTTTATATGGATGGATGTATGTTTGCTTGAAGGTATCTCCAGAAACGGATTTGTCTGTCAGTCTGGAAGAACACATACGCTACTAATTCAGTTTTTTTAATTCCGCGCGGACAGATTCGCAGGCGACAGCTAGTATTGCATAAAAGTTATAAGTATCGATAAATCTTTTATTACTATTATTGTCACATCCCTATTAGAAGATAGGGATGTAACTGCACAAGAATAGAGCCCGTATGTTTGACATTCGATTGATTCTTATTGTCACATGATAATCGCATAACGGTCTTTAAGTTATTGTTAATGACAAATATATTTGGAGATTAATAGATTAAGTTGTTTGTTATGTTATATGAGATGTACTATTGTTGTCCCTTTCGTTCTCTTTGACAAAACAGAGACAACAAGAATGCAGAGACAGTAAGAGGCGCTGCTATCGCAATTAATTCTGTCGGAAAATATGTAAAACCTACATGGACATAAAAATGGCATAAAAGAAAAAAACATAACATGACAGCTACAGTACGAAACCTTTTGATACATTGACATAAGGGCTTTAGAGATCTGTGATAATTTAATTTGACTTATGCAATAAGCAACAATTAATTTATGTGTAAGTTAACGTAATATTTTGTTGTTTTTTTTTAATATCATAAGGTGGCAAACGAGCGATCGGCCACCTGAAATCGCAGAAATAGCGAAGTGACCGTTGCCCATAGACATACATAATTGCATATGCGTTGCCTACCTTTAAACGACGGAGGAGAGGATGCACAGAAAGAAAATATTTTCTCTTTCCATGCATCCTCTCATCCGGTAAGTTCACTTCCACTTCCCATCCATTCCTTATAAGAAATAGACTGGGAAGGGAAAGAGGTCTAAATTAGGCCTCCGGGACGCATATTCATCAGACGTAACGCGGAATTGCTTCCACTTGAGGCGTGTCTTCTGTATGGTCGTGGTATTTCACCGGGCGAGCCGGGCCAATTCGTGCGAAGATGTTAAAGCTCGCTCTACCACTGTTAAGTTGTGTGACCAATGAGTTTATTCCTTGAATACAATGTTGATATTTTCAGACACATTAAGTACCATGTAATATTGTACTTAAGATGAATAATAAAAAGTTTATAATAGCTATACTATGATCGTAACATTAAAACCTCTTTTGTATTCCCCCGTTCGGAAACTCATCAAAGAGTGATTATCAACGTTCGAGACATCATAAAATATAATCATTATGCGTGGTCACACATCTTAATGTTATTATTACAAAAGACCAAAGTCAATAAAACCACAGACGAATCGAATTTGCATATCAGCCATCTTGTCTGAATGTCAAAAGAATGTCAACAGTTGCAATTTGAGAGGCGAAAAAAAAAATACAATTCGAAATTCGAATCTCGAGAGTCCTTAAGGTTTATCTTTTGCGATCTTTTGAATGGATTTGGTGTTTTTTTTATAACACGTGTTCGTAAAAAGATTTGTTAGTTGTCCCTTGTCTTTGGTTTATTTAGAATTCATCATTATCATCAGCTCACTATACGTCCCCACCGAGGGGCACGGAACCTACCCTAAGTTAAGGGTGATTAGGCCATAGTCAACCACGCTGGCCAAGTGCAGTGACTTCACAGATATCTTTGAATTACTTCTCAGATATGTGCAGCATCACGATGTTTTCCTTCACCGTAAGAACGTCGGATAAATGTACATATGTAAATCGGAAATGGAAAAACACATTGGTACATGGATTCGAACCCAGGACCTGCAGATTGCAAGTCAAGTGCTTGACCACTGAGCCACCGACGCTAATTTAGAATTACATACAACTAAATTATACTTTTATATATCTTAAATACTGTAAATAAATTGCACTATAATCATAAAGTGTTTTTAACAATATTTTTTTTCGCTTAAGTACAATTTTTCATCATCGAATTTCTTTTGAATTACTTCACATTCTTTGTGAATCTACCAAAATGAATCTTCATCTTGCCTTCTTCACTGACCTCTATAAATGGACAGGATATAAAACGAAATATTTTGTTCCTATTTGATTTTCACGATTTACATATGTACATTTATCCGACGTTACGGTAAAGGAAAACATCGTGATGCTGCACATATCTGTGAACAAATTCAAACATATGTTGTCTGCCAGTATTAATTATGACCTAGTCACCTCATTTAGAGTAGGCTCGACCCTCCGTGGACCTATGAGCTGATGACGATTTAAAAGTGAAACATCTTACTAATATTATAAATGCGAAGGTATCTCCAGAACGGCTTCATAGATCTCGATGAAATTTGGCATATAAATAGAACATAATCTGAAAGAACACATAGGCTACTTATCTTTTTTTAATTCCGTGCGGACAGCGTCAGACGCAGACAGCTAGTTGTATTATAAAAAAATCTCGTTTAAACAGTATCTGAGATAGAAAACAAAGCCGGAGGATGTTCCTAGTACTTGAATGACATAGATTATGTTCCCATCGAACAAAAACAAGGCACACGTGCGTTTTAATCCGACGGATCCGGGTATACCCGGTGGCCTAATGCTTCATAGTCGTTCAATAGTTGAGCGTATGCGCGTATTATTTTAGAGGGTACGTAAGTGTAGAAGATTTTGTAATAATCTTACTAATATTATAAATGCGAATGTTTAGATGGGTGTTTGTTTGAAGATATCTCTGGAACGGCTATATCTTGCCGAAATTTGTTATTAAGAACATAGTCTGGAAGAATGCATAGGATACGAATTATGTTTTTATATTCCTCGCAGATGGAGTCGCGGGGGAAAATTAGGTTAGGGTAAAGTTTGAGAGCACGGCATGACAGAGATTGTTTTAGGCCACGAAATTAAAAAAAATGTTAGTTACTAGACCACAACTTCGACCAAGGGGAATTAAAAAAAAATAATAGACTGTGTTCTTCCAGACTATGTTCTACATTTATGACAAAATTTATCAATATCTGTTGATCCATTTTGAAGACATAACAAATATCCATCCATACATCTAAACTTTCGCATTTATAATATTAGTAAGAAGATAATATTTTTTTTCTTACAATATTTAAAATTTTAAAACAATGGCCAAAAGGCTATGTGTAATTCCTAGCCGTATCTATGCAAATTAAAAAAAAGTAACTAGTAACAGTTCCAAATGTTCTAAAAGTACCAGGCAATCATAGAATATAGGAACTACTTTATGGTTCTTGTTCTTATCTATTCCTTATTCGAATTTCTAACTTTTTAATTTTGACGAACATATCGGTAATTTTGTAAGACCAGATAAGTAATTAGAACTTTTGTCTTTTATCATAAAAAATAACGTATATTAAAATTTAACAGGTTGTCGACAATATTGTAAAATTATTCACCAAAACGCGTGGGAACGGGTAACAGGATTGTAAATTTTGTCGTCCAAAGTCAACATCTATGGTATTGTTTAGTTTTTTTTTTTCGGGATGGACAAAGGCTCGGTGCGATAATGCTATTGTCTTTGGCCGCAAGAAGGACGCACGTGTCTCTGGCAGGTTTCACTACGTTTTGTTTATTAGTAATTTTTTTTTTCACAACGTAGTGGACACCTGTAGTGTCATTCATAACTTGTGCGATGTAATCGTTCAACAATTTGCGTGGGAAAATTAGAGGTGAGTCATTGCGACATTTTTTTTTGCCTTCCGAATGCGCGTATATCGATTTTTTTTAATAGCTGTCATTCGCGACTTTGTGTTCTTCCAGACTATGTTCAACATCTATGCTTTTTAACCAGATGTATGCAGCAAATGTACATTTATCCGACGTTCTTACGTTGAAGGAAAACATCGTGATGCTGCACATATATGAGAAGAAATTCAAAGATATGTGTGAAGTCAACCCGCACTGGGCCAGCATGGTTGACTATGACCTAGTTACCCCTAATTTAGGGTAGTCTCCGAGCCCCTCAGTGGGGATGTATAGTGAGCTAATGATGAGTATGGGATTTGGTGGAGTTATACGACGACGAACTACAA